AGGTAAACATTTAGAGATTAAAAAAACCAAATTATATTATAAATTTTAACTATTTAATTAAATTGTATATTTTTAAACATTAAAATAAAAACTATGAAATTTGTACACTGCACGTGTTTTTTACTAGTAAATTAAAATGGTGAAGCATATTTGCTTTCCTGAATTTAAATTTATCCACAAAATATTTTAAAGTATAAAATAATAACAATCGTAGAGTATTTAACTATTTATAATATTCCATAGTTTTATAGTTTTTGTTTCAACTTCAAAAAAAAAATAATTAAATAAATAAATAAATCATAAAAAGATACAACCTCTCCCTCCCGGTTTCTCTCCTCTCCGTAGACTAGCCAGTACCTACTCCCCTCCTATCGTTATCCACTATTCGAAGAAGGTGTGTTTTCTCTTCGTCTTTGGATTGAGTTTTTTTTTTCAGAAGGTGTTCCTCTTTATTTTGTTTTTGTTTCTCTTAGTTTTTTTTTCAAGAAATACGTAGTTGGATTGAGATAAATAGGGACCTCTCTTGTTGTTGTAGATGCAATTTTCGGGGACGATCTTTCTTTTAGGCTGGTTTCTGTGATAGCAGACGGTGGTCGGGTGTCGGGGAACTCCTCGTTGGATGTTGATAGTGCGGTTGTGGTTGACAAAATCAAAGACAACATTGTTATGTATGGTCTATAGCTTTGACATCAGAGCGCTTTGAAGAGTTATTAGGCACAAAATTGGGGAGGACACCCACTTGCGATTTTTTATGCCCTCTCCAATTTTTTTGGATGACTTTTATMTTTGTTGCATCCTGCTTCAGAGAACTTTATAAGCCAGGGGCAAGGGTGATGGAGTAGAAGGTGTGGGACAAATAGAAGTATAGTGGCGATTGGTTCAAACACCATTTTGGAATCTAAGAAGGTTATCAGTCTTAATTGTATTAAGATTGGTGACCAACATCATTTGAGAAATTTGACTAATCATTCCTTACCTGTCATAGTGTAGAATAAGACAACTTGGAGTCTATTATTTACGTTCTAATCCTAAATAGGGGTGTCATAATTGTCATAATTGAATAATCATTCCTTACCTGGCAAGCTGTTTTATTAGTCAAGTGTGCCATTTCTAATGGTTTCTTTGTCATTTGGGATAGTTTTTTTCTTCCGTGGGTTCTAACTGTGGTGCGTTGTTACTATTCTTCTGATGTAACTCTTAGTCGTTAGATTTATATTTAGTTCAGTGTTCTTTGATAAAAAAAAAAGTTTTAAAGTTATTTAGAAAATTATAATTTGTTTTTTCAACCCCATAAATAGGGTAACTAGGGTAATTAGATATATTTCTCTATGTTACAAACTTTCGATGTTACACAAAATATATATATAATTTCTCTATGTTACAAACTTTAAATTTTTGTTTTGAATACCCACTAGCTAAGTCAATGAACTTGATCTTAAAACAACTTATTTCTAACATATACTTAGAGTTAGGTTTCAAATTGAGCCAACATTTTAATGTTTGTAAAGTAGGAGTTCAGATGACTAAGAAGTTTATAATTTTTGTAAAGCAAGAGTTCACGTGACTAAAAAGTTTATAATTTTGATTTACTAGATACAGGATCTAAAATTTCCTATCAAAGAGGCTTTAAATTCAATTAAATTAATTTTTTTATGCAATTATTAAAGAATTTAAGGTTAAAAAACACATTTGGTCCCTGTACTTTCATTAAAGTAACAATTTAGTTCCTGAACTTCAGTTTGAAATGATTTAGTCCTTATACTTTCCCTAAAGTAACAATTTAATCCCTGAATTTTAAGATTTAGTCCCTGTAATTTAAAATTTGTAACAATTTAATCCCTATCGTAAATTTTTTAATTAAAATTAAGTGTCAAATTTTATCATATAGCAATATAATCTTTTTAATTCATAAACATATTTGATCCGTCTTTAGTTTATTAATTCATGCATACAAGAAACTTAACAAAAAAAATTCACGATAAGGACTAAATCGTTACCAACTTTAAATTACGAGGACTAAATTGTTACATATTAAAGTTCAAGGACTAAATTGATACGAATTTTAAAGTACAGTAACTAAATTGTTACAAACTAAAATTCAAGGACTAAATTGTTATTTTAGCGAAAGTACACGGACTAAAAGTGTTTTTTAACCAAAATTTAAATAGTTTCTAAAATAGTTTTTTTTGGGTTAAATTATCCTCTACCAACCTTTTTAAATACGTGTGGGGTAGGAATTCGAACTCATAAATTTTATAGTCAAAGATCACCGATTGATTGATTTTTATTTTTGTTTTTTTTTTCCTAAATAAGTAACAGAGGACATATATCATTAAGAAACAGCCCAACACAACCTAAAGATTGGGCAGAACGAATCCTCGCCCAAGACCTTAAATTATTTACTTTAAATAATTAAATTACCAAAAGAAAATAATAGGTTAAACTTTAACTGATAAATATTTATATATTCTTTTAGATAAATTGATAAATAACATTTTATAAAAGAAATAAAAAAATGAAAATGTAAAAAAAAAAAAAAATTTTGATAAGAGCAGGGGCTTTGAGACTCATATCCGCCTTTTGTGGCTAAAAAGTACGAAAATAAAAGCAAAGACGGCCTGTTTTCAAAGGGTATATTTTTATATCATTGTGAAGATATGTAACGTCACACAATTCACTTCTATCGTGTTTTAATTCTCTATTATATGATTGCACCAAATATTATGGTACTAATGACTCCGAGAATTGAAGGATGAATGTTAATGCATATAGATATATTGTGTGCATATAAAAAAATGAAGCTAAAAAGTTCTATTAAAAATTTCTTTTAGTTAATAACAAAGTGGGGATGATCAAAATTAGAGTGGAAAGAATCACGCCTCAAAGTAAGATCGTTTTTAAAGATTCGTGGGTAGAATCATAACACTACATGGTCTATTATGATATTTAATATTTATTACTTATCAATACTTAACTTAACATTGATTGTTTCCGACCTAAGTATAGCTTGACGGGTTAAGACACCTATGTTCGACTAGAAAGTCGTAAGTTCGAATTCCCACCCACATACTATACTCAGAAAGAAAAAAAATAAAACTTAACCTCAATTATTTAGTCTTCCTATGATGCATTATAATTCTCTTTGTTTAACTTAAACACAAATCCATTGACGTTTAAACTCAAATTATTAAGCATGAAGTAAATAAATAAATTTAATTTTTTTGTATTGTATTTGAGTTTAATTTAAATTATAATATTTTAGTAAAATTTCAAACTTTCTACTATATATTTGAAATTTCATGTTTATTTTATGCTATTTAGGTAAATAAAAAAAACAATTATACGTCATCACAAGATTCCTCAGATATTTGTTTTTTAAGGCATTTCTTTAATAATTAGAGCTTATAGGTGATAAGATAAGAATGCATTATTTATTTTTCAGGATAAAATGCATTATCAATTAAAATTTAATTGGCCTATTAGAGATAAGAAATGGAAGAAAATTAAAGGGGACTGCGCCACTGACCTACGTGGCACATCTAATGGATCTATAAAACTGTTTATTTTTGCTTTTTTTAAACACGAAAAAAACGTAGAAGAAATATTAATTTTTGATGATGAAAAGTTGGAGCTTTGCTCCTTATATTCGACCCGCCTCGAAGCTTGAATTAGAGAAATCATAAATTTTGTGTATTAAACTTACTAGAAGATTCGAACGTTAATTAATATTTTATTAAAAAATAAAAAACATCTGAATTAACCTTTTATAAAAGAAATGAAAAAATAAAAAAGTGATGAGGCAAAAGAACTTGAACTAAAGAAACGTGTTGATTCACAAAATGATATAATTCATCCATCTCTGCAAATAATTGAATTGATTTTGTTAAAGCGAGCATAGCTCATCATTAATTAATATATATCTTCAATCAAGAGGTTGTGAGTTCGATCTCCACCCCACGTGTTGTACTAAAAAAAATATTTTGAATTAATTTTATTTTATTCCCTTTTAACTTCATCACATTTTTTGTTTGACATGGTAAAAATAATAGTTAGATTAAAGAGGAACATGAGAACACAAGAGCTCTCTGAAATTAGTAAAATTTCAAATAACTCCACCAATAAAAATACTCAAAATGAAAAAAAAAATACCAAAACCTTTACAAATTAAATCGAAAACATAAGATCCTCAATCGTAATAATAGAATGATCCAACTTAGTTAAGAAAGTATCAAACATAATCAAAATTACCAATACCAACCACAACAAAAAAAACTTATCTATTAACAAAATTTTTTAGTACTATAAGAGTATCAACTCTCTTTGTATACGCTACGAGTTTTCTTTTAGAATTTCACACATTATTCTTAAATAAGATTAATATGGCTATGAATGAGAGTGATATCCATACTCCCATCGTACTCAAATTTCCTTAATACAAATAGGTTCAACTCACTAACTAGAATGTTAACTTTATTAAGTCATTTTATTCAACCGACGAGAGAGGTGGTCAGTATCTTTATCGTAGAGAGATTTAACTTTCACCGCTTACTCCACCGATTGAGCCAAGAGTGAATTTTTATCCGGCCAACGTAGACCGTAAAAAGAAAAGAAAAAGTTGAGTAACTAAAATCAATGGTGAGGAATTGGGAAGAGAAGCAGAGTCTATGTACAACTAACTTCCAATGGTCCCATTGAAGGCCACAAGAAAAATATCAGTCCTTTTTCCTTTAGGGACACAAACCCAAAAATCAAAAGAATCTTTTACAAGAATTAGGAATTTGATGCAATAAAAAGAAAAAAAAAATCTCCCATTTTCTCTCTCATCATCCTCCCTTCCACTCACTTCTTCACTACAATTTGGTGAAATCCATTTCCTCCAATCAGATTGCAGCAAATTCCATCAAAAAAGCTCTAATTCAGATAAATGGATGCCCTCTCTCTCCTCTCTCTCTCTCTCCCCAACTTCCGTGGCTGACATTGAAGCTCAACCTCAAAAGAAACCCATCTCACCATCACAATTCCCTGACGACCCAGTTCGCCACGTGTCCCTTTCACTCACCACTACCCAGAGAATCCCCCTTCTTGTTCATCAAATTTATAAAACCATTTCTCTGCAATTACGAAGATTTTAAAGAAACAGAGAGACATTTCTTCTTCTTCTTCTTGCTTCCTCCATTGTTGAACATCATTTTCTTAATTTTGTGACATTGATTACACTTTCTTGTATAGTTTTGATCATCATCAATGGCGTCGTTGGTGTCATCGCCTTTTTTGGCGGCTTCAAAATCGGACCACCAGCTCTCATCTCTCTCCCAGAAGCATTATTTTCTCCATTCATTCCTCCCCAAGAAAACCCATCTCCCAGTTTCCTCCAAATCCGCCATTAGAGTAAAATGCACCGCAATCGGCAACGGCCTCTTCACCCAAACGAGCCCCGAAGTCCGACGTGTCGTCCCGGACAACACCGCCGGCCTTCCCACCGTCAAAGTCGTCTATGTCGTTCTCGAGGCTCAGTATCAATCGTCGCTCACCGCCGCCGTCCAATCCCTCAACAAGAACAAAACCCACGCCTCGTTCGAAGTTGTCGGTTACTTGGTCGAAGAGCTTCGCGATGAATCCACTTACAAATCCTTCTGTAAAGACCTTGAAGATGCCAATATCTTCATTGGGTCTCTCATTTTCGTGGAGGAGCTCGCTCTGAAGGTCAAGGCCGCCGTGGAGAAGGAGAGGGAGTGCCTCGACGCCGTTTTGGTGTTCCCTTCGATGCCGGAAGTGATGAGATTGAACAAACTTGGGTCGTTCAGTATGTCCCAATTGGGGCAATCGAAGAGCCCATTCTTCCAGCTCTTCAAGAAGAAGAAGCAATCCGCTGGTTTTGCTGACAGTATGTTGAAGCTTGTGAGGACATTGCCTAAGGTATTGAAGTATCTTCCCAGTGATAAGGCTCAGGATGCTAGACTTTATATTCTTAGTTTGCAGTTTTGGCTTGGTGGATCACCTGATAATCTGCAGAATTTCTTGAAAATGATTTCTGGGTCTTATGTTCCTGCTTTGAAAGGGGCTAAAGTTGAGTATTCTGAGCCTGTTCTGTATTTGGATTCTGGGATTTGGCACCCTTTGGCCCCTTGTATGTATGATGATGTGAAGGAGTATTTGAATTGGTATGGGACTAGGAGGGATGCTAATGAGAAGCTGAAGGATCCTAATGCCCCTGTGATTGGGCTGATTTTGCAAAGGAGTCATATAGTTACTGGTGATGAGAGCCATTATGTGGCTGTGATTATGGAGTTGGAGGCCAAAGGGGCTAAGGTGATCCCCATTTTTGCGGGTGGGCTTGACTTTTCGGGGCCGGTAGAGAGGTATCTTGTTAATCCGGTGACGAAGAAGCCGTTCGTGCATTCGGTTGTGTCGCTGACTGGCTTTGCTCTGGTTGGAGGGCCTGCCAGGCAGGATCATCCAAGGGCTGTTGAGGCATTGACCAAGCTTGATGTTCCTTATATTGTTGCTCTGCCTTTGGTGTTTCAGACTACTGAGGAATGGCTTAATAGTACCTTGGGGTTGCACCCGATTCAGGTGGCGCTTCAGGTGGCACTACCGGAGCTCGATGGTGGTATGGAGCCCATTGTTTTCTCTGGCCGGGATCCACGAACAGGTATGAGGAAGTTCCCTCACTATGCTTTTTCTATCTGCTGTTCAAGATTTCTAGTCGAATATAAATTACATTCATAATTTGAGTAGATAGAAAATTACGATGATCGGTCTCGAAACGGCTGAGAAATCATAAATATTGTTTGTTGGTTTGGTTTGGTGAAAGAGTAGAATGTGTGGATCTTGTTATTCAGTACTTAGTAGCTTAGGAATTGAAAAATATGAACATTATTTTATAATGTATTGCAGGGAAATCTCATGCACTTCACAAGAGGGTTGAACAGCTCTGCACTAGAGCAATCAAATGGGCTGAACTTAAAAGAAAATCCAAGGTATTCACTTCTATAACCAATCGAAATAGCTTCAGTATCCGATATTTAGCATGTTTTCTTCTTTACGATCCAAAATGTGAGATTCAAGAATATCAAACTTTAATCTGGCTTCTTGATATTGATATATTCCTAACTTCATGCTTGAGTTATTAAGCTTTTCTATAGCTAGCAAGTTTTGTGGTTTTAGTTTATCATTGATGTGTAATGCTCGAAAATGGTTCGAGTTTTTCTCCATCTTATGATAAATATTGACATTTTTTCAGGCTGAGAAGAAGCTGGCTATAACTGTCTTTAGTTTCCCTCCAGATAAGGGAAATGTTGGAACTGCCGCATATTTAAATGTCTTCTCATCCATCTTCTCTGTGCTGAAAGATCTCAAGAGGGATGGTTATAACGTGGAGGGCCTTCCCGAGACTTCTGAAGCTTTGATTGAAGATGTTATTCATGACAAAGAGGCACAATTTAACAGCCCTAATCTGAACATCGCTTACAAAATGAATGTTCGTGAATACCAGAAATTAACACCGTATTCGACTGCTTTGGAAGAGAACTGGGGGAAGCCTCCTGGCCATCTGAACTCTGATGGAGAGAATCTGTTGGTGTATGGGAAGCAGTACGGGAATGTATTCATCGGAGTTCAGCCGACGTTCGGATATGAGGGCGACCCGATGAGACTTCTCTTCTCTAAATCGGCTAGCCCCCATCATGGTTTTGCAGCATATTACTCTTATGTTGAGAATATCTTTAAAGCTGATGCTGTTCTTCACTTTGGAACTCATGGTTCGCTTGAATTTATGCCTGGAAAGCAAGTGGGGATGAGTGATGTCTGCTATCCCGATAGTTTGATCGGAAACATTCCGAATGTCTACTATTATGCAGCTAATAACCCATCTGAAGCTACAGTTGCTAAACGTCGAAGCTATGCCAATACCATTAGCTATTTGACACCCCCGGCGGAGAATGCCGGGCTTTACAAGGGCCTTAAGCAATTGAGTGAGCTTATTTCCTCGTACCAATCGCTTAAAGATACCGGTCGGGGGGCACAAATTGTCAGCTCAATTGTTAGTACTGCTAGACAATGTAATCTCGACAAGGATGTCGAACTACCTGAGGAGGGAGAGGAAATCCCGGCAAAAGAACGCGATCAAGTTGTTGGGAAGGTGTACTCAAAGATCATGGAGATTGAATCCCGACTTTTACCTTGTGGACTTCACATAATCGGCGAGCCACCCTCTGCCATGGAGGCAGTAGCGACGCTTGTCAATATCGCTGCACTTGATCGTCCTGAAGATGAGATCTCATCTCTTCCATCTATACTAGCAAGCACAGTTGGGAGAAACATAGAGGATGTGTACCGAGGGAATGATCGGGGAGTATTGAAGGATGTTGAGCTTCTTCGGCAGATTACCGAGGCATCACGTGGGGCCATTTCTGCCTTTGTGGAGCGAACAACTAATAAGAAAGGCCAAGTTGTTGATGTAGGTGATAAACTGAGCTCGATCTTAGGTTTCAATATAAGCGAACCATGGGTTCAGTACTTGTCAAACACCAAGTTTTACAGGGCAGATAGGGAGAAGCTTAGGAAACTATTTGAGTTCTTGGCCGAGTGTTTGAAGCTCGTGGTAATGGATAACGAGTTGGGTAGTTTGAAACAGGCTTTGGAGGGAAAATATGTTGAGCCAGGCCCCGGTGGCGACCCGATTAGGAACCCGAAGGTTTTGCCAACAGGAAAGAACATTCATGCCCTTGATCCACAAGCTATTCCCACAACAGCAGCAATGCAAAGTGCAAAAGTTGTGGTGGATAGGTTGATAGAGAGGCAGAAGGTTGAAAATGGAGGAAAATATCCCGAGACGATCGCTCTTGTATTATGGGGAACCGATAACATTAAGACATACGGTGAATCCCTGGCTCAGGTTCTATGGATGATCGGTGTATTGCCCGTTGCAGATACTTTCGGTCGTGTCAACCGAGTAGAACCTGTGAGTCTTGAAGAGCTTGGAAGGCCTAGAATCGATGTAGTTGTTAACTGTTCGGGCGTGTTTAGAGATCTGTTCATCAATCAGGTGGATGATCCTGCATTTCTCAAAACTTTTCGAAATGCAACTTTCTAGTTTCTAGTTTTTGATAAAAGCTTATATTCTGTTTTGTAGATGAACCTCCTTGACCGAGCAGTGAAGATGGTAGCGGAACTGGATGAGCCTGAGGAGCAGAACTTTGTCAGGAAACATGCCATCGAACAAGCTCAAGCGCTCGGTATCGGTGTTCGAGAAGCTGCAACTCGAGTCTTCTCGAATGCATCTGGATCGTACTCATCCAACATCAACCTTGCAGTGGAGAATTCGTCCTGGAATGACGAGAAGCAACTCCAAGACATGTACTTGAGTAGGAAGTCATTTGCTTTTGATTGTGATGCTCCTGGAGCTGGCATGATGGAGAAGAGAAACGTTTTCGAGATGGCTCTAAGCACGGCAGATGCCACGTTCCAGAACCTCGACTCGTCGGAGATCTCGCTGACTGATGTTAGTCATTACTTCGATTCTGATCCTACTAATTTAGTTCAAGGCCTGAGAAAGGATGGCAAGAAGCCTAGTGCCTACATTGCTGATACCACTACAGCCAATGCTCAGGTGAGACGAACACTTTTCGCAAAAGCTCACTCATATGAAAGCTTCGACCATATACTTAGTTCTAAACTGATCTTTTTTGAACTTACAGGTCCGAACGCTCGCCGAGACGGTTAGACTCGATGCAAGAACCAAGCTATTGAATCCCAAGTGGTACGAGGGAATGATGTCGAGTGGCTACGAGGGTGTTCGAGAAATTGAGAAGAGGCTAACCAACACGGTTGGGTGGAGTGCGACTTCTGGCCAAGTCGACAACTGGGTTTATGAAGAAGCTAACTCGACATTCATTCAAGACGAGGAGATGCTTAATAGGCTGATGAAAACGAATCCAAACTCCTTCCGGAAGTTGGTGCAGACATTCTTGGAAGCAAATGGGCGCGGATACTGGGAAACTTCAGAGGAAAATATCGAGAAATTGCGCCAGTTGTACTCCGAGGTCGAAGACAAGATCGAAGGGATTGATCGGTGAAGTATAGAGATGATGAACAGGAAAAGATTGTAAACTCAAAAGATGAATGTAAATTACTTTGGCCAATTTATTCAACCATCTTCTTTCAAGGATGAATGATGGATGTAGTTTTGTAATGTGAAATTATTTGAGACTTCTTGTATTCTTAATTGCTAATTCCATTTTGATGTAACTCAATCACCAACTTCAATTTCAGTTCATGAACACCATAACTGCCATGAAGCTTAAAGTTAAAAGAAGTTGAAAGTCAATCTTAAGGAAAAAATCATTGAAGTAAGTTTAATTAAAGTCAAAGGGTGAATTCATTTTCTTGATAGTTTCGGTATAGTACTTGTTGGTGTAGATTGTGGATACCCGAGGTGGACTCTTGTTCAATCGAGTTAAGGACCTGCAAATAAAAATTTGTATCAATGCGATACTCGGAAATGTACATTCCGAAGTTTAAGTTAGTACTTAGTCTAAACGGGTGAGGCAAGCTTAGTAGGAATTACATTATTTACTTACTTTTGCAATTTGCCTTCTATAGGAGAGCTTTGAGAAGCGATCATTTCGACGCTATGCATTTGGCAATCAACAAATTTTACATCGATGACATCTATGTTTCTAGGTCGTTGCCAAGCTAGGCTCTCTCAAGGTTAGTCATAGGTAACTTTACCTAGTCCATCTAATTCTCAACCTATTCGAATTGAGTCTCAAACACGTGTTTCTGGACGAGAGGGTCATGTGGCAAGACCTGATGCCACTCTTAATGTGGCTAACCTTTTTAATCTTTAAAAATTTGACCAAAAATTTTCAAGTTAACATTCCTTATTGTTCTATCTATAATCGATTTTTTTACCACAAATTATTTTTCGACTCATTTTGAACTTTGTTCCGTTTAGAGTTATTGCATAACTTAATTAACTCAAATGGTTAAGGCACCATATCAATAAACTAGGGTTGAGACATGATGCTAGTAAATAATACAAGATCTTCAAAGAATTTTTCTCTACTCATTAAAAAAAATTATAAAATTAAACATATAACTAAAAACTAGAGGCTATAAAAAAAATTTATTGACCAATGGACATTTCCATCACATTTTCTTGTCCATAGGTTCGAAATTGACACGAATGGTATATCAACATTTCCATAATATCACAAAAACTCAGACAAAACAATAAATTATTTTAAAAACTTATTTAAAACCAGTGAAATGATTTTTATGTTAATTTAAATATTTGTTATGCATTTTTTATTTTTATAACATTATAAACATTTAAAACCTTATATTAAGTTATAAGTTTTGTCCGTTTCAGCCGGTAAAATAATTCCAAGTTGTGTTTATTTCATCTTTATACTTTAAAAACTTTCTAATATCTATACTATATTAAAAATGGAGGATCTCATAAAAATATTTTTAGACCCTTTTATCCTTTATCAAATTTTATATTTACTAAGCATACCATTTTTTATTTTAATAATTTTAATTAATAAAAATATGAAGGTTATGAATGTGAAGAGTTTGAA